CAGAGGTCCCTTCCAACCCCTACCATTCTGTGATTCTGTATTTGTACACATTGTTGATCCCCCCTGAACCTTATCTTCTCTAGGCTGGATGTTCCCAGTGCTCTCAGCCGTTCCTCATATGAGAGGTGTTCCAGTGCCCTGACAATTAGTGGCCTTCTGCTGGACTCTCTCCAGTATGTGTGAGTGGCCTGGAAGGAGGCGCAGTGCTCCAGGGGTGGCCTCGACAGTGCTGAGCAGAGGGGAAGGACCACCTCCCTCGACCTGCTGGTGACATTACTCCTAATGCAGACCCCGACACCAGCCGTGTTCTTTGCCACAAGGGCACATTGCTGGCCTGTGTTCAGCTTGGTGGCCACCAGGACCCCCAGGGTCTGGCCTCTAACGCTGTTTTCTAGCAGGTTGCAGCCGAGCATGTACTGGTGCATGGGATTATTGCTGCCCAGGTGCAGGGCTTTGCAATTCCCAGTGTTGAATTGCATGAGGTTTCTGTCATTCCTTTTCTCCAGTCTGTCGAGGTCCATCTGGATGGCAGCATGACCCCCTGGCACATCAGCCACTCCTCCCAGTTTTGTGTCATCAGCAGACTTGCTGAGCATGCACTTTGCCCTATCATCCAGCTCCTTAATGAAAATGTTGAGCAGGAGTGGACCCAGTATTGACCCCAGAGGCACACTGCTAGTTACTGGCCTCCAGCTAGACTTCGTGCCATTAGAAGCTTGGTTTGTCTTTGGAATTCAGTGCCTGAAATGTCTGTCATAACCCGTTACTTCATTATATCACAAGGACTATTTGAAAATGCAGTTGTCCAAGTACTCCCAAACCTCTTACATATTGTAAAAACGATTATGCAAAGAGGTACGAAAATATAGATTAGTAGTATTCAAATTCTAGACTTCAAATTCTAGAACTTCCTGAAGAGCTGAATGGGAGCTGTTTAGAATCTGAAGAAAATAAAAAGACTGTTACTAGACCTGGTAAACCAAAGGCAGCCTATATCCCTTACTGTTTGTGGGTTGTTTTTGTTGTGGTTTTTTTTGTTGTGTTTTTTGGGGGGGGTAGGGGGAGTGTTTTGTTATTTTTCTCCTGTTTAAGGGGGGAAAAAAAAAAGTTTATCAAGTCTTTCTTATACGGAAGAGATTGCATATCTCTGCTCAGCATTGCTATTCTTTGTTTTCTAGTTCCCCTGTATTCGAAGCAAAAGAGGGGTCAGAGCTCTATGCGGTATTCAGTGTGCACACAGTAGACCTAAGTAGTGAAACTTTGTTTTCTGTGTCATTCAAATGCTTTTGCTGAAAACATCTGCTTTTCTTTCTGATGGTGACTGACCAGTCAGCTTAACTTTTCAAGGAAGTTTTTTCCATGGTATTATGTAGATCTTTCTCCTGTATTGTAACAGCTAATTTAAAAATCATGATTTTCTGTCTTGAGGGTTGTATTTCGCATTACATTTCTGATCACTAGCCTTGGGATGCTAGTGCTGAGTGCCAGGGTGGAAAACTAAGAATCATATGCAAGGCTTTGCAGTCATATTTTGAGCTGGTTGTCTTGGATAAGTTTGGGTTGTAAAGAAACTTTATTGCTTCATTATATGTATTGAATAGTGCAGTTTCCTTTGGGATTTCACTGGTAACTTCTCTGAGAAAATAATTTTTCTGCTGCTGTTTCTCATCTTATAGCTGGCTATTAATCTGCTCAATGTTCTCTCTCGATCTGAGAGACCTTAGTTTTATAGGTTAGGAATCTTCACAGAAGGAACCTGGTTAAACATTTTTAAAAATGTGTGGTGTGATTTCTTCAGCAGAAAAGCGCAGTTAGGAAAAACCTGTCTCGCTCCATTCTTAACTGCTGCAATTCAACTATTTGCTTGGCTACATTTGAACTGAATTTGTGGGTAACTAAAAAATAAACAGGTTTTTTTGAGTTTTCTTTTAAGAAGTCCAGATCAGTCTTTGACTCGGTCTAGTCACCCTGGCACACTGTAGTAGAGCAGTACTGAGCAGCTTACGGTGGGAGAGGATGGGGACCTCCTAGGAAGCCTTTTCACTGGAGAAACCAGCGTGCACCGCATGCTGGGCGCATTGTAAGGTGGGATGTTTTGGTGAATAAAGACTTCATTGGTTTTTTCAGTGGTCACTAACAGCTTTGTGAAACATGCTGCTGTCTTTCTGTGTGCCTTCTTGGATCAGTACTAAAGTTCATTGATATTTTATGGGGCATTAGAAGCTTGTGAAAATTCAAATCTCGAAGATGATGGGGATTTGCATGCAAACAAAGTTTTGGAAAAATACTGAATTAGGACATCTCTTGAGAGCTCTGGCTAAGCTACTGTTGGGAGCTACTGGCTGGCATAGCCTTAGAAGTTAACTCTGAATGCGTTGTACTAAATACTCTGGCCTTTCAGCAATGTGTGCTTTCCTTCCCCGGCAGTCCTCTGCTAAATTGTATATTGGCTCTTTTCTGAGAATGAAACCAATCTGGAAATGAGTATTATGGTTGCAGTTGAAGATTGTATTAATTTATTTGTCATATAAATGAGCTCTTTGTGGCATGATTAGTTAGTTGGTGTAGTACGATATTTGTCTTGCCTCTTTTTAGTATAAATTTTTAAATTAATCTTCCCTCTCCTCCCGTTTCTTCTGTGTGCAGGATTACGACTGAATATATGGCTGAGAACTGAAATTTACAGAAGTCTGTTCAGAGCAGAAAAAAAAATAATATTCTTACAGTTTTAATATGTTGCTTGGCCAAAAGTTTAGAATATATGAATCTGAAAAGAGGAAGCAACTCACTAGTTATTTTAATGTTGCAAGATAGATGTCTCTTCCATGGAAGCTGTAATATTCCGAGTACTCACTGATATACTCAGTGAGTACAATGTAACGTGATCATTAGTGAAGTGTGTATAATCTGTTCTGTTATGGTCTGAGACTGAAGGAAATCTTTATCCTGCACAAGATTATTTCTCCACAAATTGCATCGTGGCGAGGAGAGACCCAGTGGTAGCTGGAGATGTGCAGCTATGTTCCTTCTCATGTCAACTCTCCACATCTAAATTGTATGACAGGACAAGGGAGCAGATGAGACAAGCTGTCACTCAGCCACGCTGCCCTTTGAAGAAAGGCCATGGGGGGGAAAAGGTGCCGCAAATGGGCTGTGAAGTTTACATACACTGCCCACTGTTAAACAGATTACCTCTAATGAAGTGTCTAATGCTCAGGCCATATCAGCCTAATCCTTGGTGGCAGTTCATCCCTCAACTGCCAAAAACCACCGCCCTCTGGCCCTCTCTCGCCACTGTGGCCGCCAAGCACAGGGAGGTGCCCGGTCTTAATAAAGCAAGACAGTGTGTGATCTGACATGCAAATGTAGGTCATTGCATATGTAAATGTGTGATTACAAACCTGCATGCCAAAACACATTAGTGAGACTTTGCTCTCAGCATGCGGTTGTCACACTGCCTTAGTAGTTCACGCTAATATTTGTCAAGTTACTGTTCAGACAGAGGCTGCAACTCCCAATTCAAATGGGAAGTACACAATACTTCGTAAATATAGCCTATTTAGAGAGTCTCTATCTTGCAGATCTGTGTAGAGAATTTTAAATCTTGAAATGAGGTGTAATTTTAGACGTTTTCCTGAAAGCCCTGTGAGTATCTCATTAAGCTAGGTCCTGCATTTGGGAATGCATTCTGGCATTAATGATGCACCGCTTTTATCAAAACAAGAGTGTCCTAATACTTTGATTCCTGAAGCAACAGAAGAATATATAAAAATATATTGCATAGGTACTTAAATATCTGCATTAAAATACCATTACACAAGCTGATCCTTTAATATCTCTAGTGTCTCTCTTCTTGTTTAGTGGGTTGTTGGTTTTTTTTGGTGGGTTGTTTTTTTTTGTGTGTGGAGGGAGCTAGGACATAAAAAGGAAACACAGCAAATTAAGTCTGATGGGATTTCTTCTCTTCTCTGTCTTAGACTCCTGAAAGGCTGAAAACATTTTAAATATATCTCAGCACTTTATAATTTAAAATTCTTACCCAAAAATAGTGTAACAAATGCTTTCTTTAAAACTTCTTGTGATTGGTCTGGGACAGTTCTGGTTTTAATTTATTGGAATAAAACAAGTTTAATAGTTTAAACTGTATTCTTCCACATGTATCTTTACACTAACGTGATGAGTCTTACTGACTTAAGTGCAAACTTTTTTCTGATATCTTTTATTCTAGAAAGCCTTGCGACCTGACATGGGTTATAATACACTTGCCAATTTCCGAATAGAGAAAAAGATTGGCCGTGGGCAGTTCAGTGAAGTTTACAGAGCAACCTGCCTGTTGGATGGGGTGCCAGTGGCACTGAAGAAGGTTCAGGTAAATTAGACTTTATGTATAAATATTTAAAAGGGTTAGATATGATTAAATTTGAAAGGCATATGTCATTTGGATGTGATCTTAATGAATTTCTAAATGCTTAGCATCTACATAGTAGGAAATTAAGAGCTTTGAAAATTTATGGCATGACTTTGTATAGTATTTCACAAACCAACTTTTTGAAATTGAAAGTGAAGCACAGAGTCATTGGGAAAAGGTAACACGTATAAATTAGCTGTATAAGAACAGTCCTAAACAAAGCCTGGAATCTACAAATAATATGAATATTCAGTGGTGTCTAATGCGAGAGTATGTTATGCAAATTCATGCATTTTTTGTTAAATAAATGTGTAAATAATTTTTCAGGTAATAACCATGCTTCAGCAGTGTGTAAATCAATTAAGATCTATATGTAATCAAACTTGTAATAGTTGAGAGGAATTACTGTTTCAAAAGACTGAGAATTACCTGAAACAAATATAAACCAAAACTGTGCTTGAATCTATAACTCACGGTTTCCTTCAGATTTTGGGATACAACTGAGTTCATATTATCATGTTCATGGATAATATATCTGGGGGGGGACCCTATATAGTAATTAAATGTGAGTGCACCGTGGAATTAAGTGAATTGCCTTGGTCAAAATACGTATTTCCAAGATTCACAACTTAACCAGTAGTGAAACAGCAGTTCTGTCACAGAAATGGAAGAGCAGCAAACTGATGAAGTTACTGTGACCAAGAAACATTGAGCCCTTGTAAATTTTAACATAAGAAATGGACTGATTATTTGTTTAGATATTTTGTCTTTGCAATTAGCACATTTTAAAGTATTTAGACCAAAAGTGACAGTTTAAATTAAAAAATCTTGCTTTTTTTATTGTCACACAGGCAGAAGGCAGCTTGAGCTAAGTCTTTCTCCAATACTATTTCCATTCTCTTTTTTTTGTTTGGAGCTGCTGAGAGATGTTTGTTACAAGACCATTACCCTCCAAAAATTCTCTACTGGATTTACTTTGAAAATTCCCCGATAATGTGTTTAGTTTTGAAACTTAAACTAAAATTGGCATTTCACTTCTGATCTCTTGAGATATGTTTAGTGTATTACTTGAAGGACTACTGCCATCAGTTCTGAAGGATTTTTTTGTTAGCTTTATATATTGCAAAATAACGTGTGTCAGATTTCATAAGATTCTCTTGTGCTGTTTCTGATTTTAATAATTTTGTTTTTGCTGTGCTAATGCACGCTCTGTAAATTTCTCTGTCGTGTCTTGACTTGCTGTTCCATTTCTGTGATTTCCTGTGCTCTGCAGCACCAGGAGGCAGGGCTAGTCCTGGCACTCATAAAAAAAGAGACTTGGTTCCCCCTTCTGGGAAAACTGCCAGATATATACTACTTCAAAAGCAGAAATATATTCTAAGAACTTTGATCAACAGTCGTAAGACATTAGGCTAATTCTTCCTTCATTTTCAGTGCATGAGAAACCAAAAAGGTCAAATGTGACTTGAAATGTGTGTCAGTTAAGGTGGATGTGGAATGTCTGGGCACGTGAAAAAAGTCATGAAGTCCAGCCTTTCACTGTTAACTATGAAATTTTTATAATGGTGTTTGCATTGAGAATACAGAGGCATTGTAGCATGTGTACTCTTCACAGTATTTCGGAAGTCAGTATGTATAGCTGCTTTTTCATATCAAATTTCCTAATTTGACAAAAGGTTTTTTTCCAATTAATGAAGAAGATATCATGCTGTCCATATGTAGGTTTCTGTAGCAAAAAAGCTTTCTTGTTCACTGATTTAATAAATTTCTAAGAATATACTTGGTGGTTGGTAGGAAACAGGGTTAAAGAGTTGTGGCTCTCGCAAATGGCTTTATCCTGATAGTGTTCCAATTGTCTTAAAATATCCAACATATGCTGTTGGTTTTCCATTGAATGTTATTGCCTATTGCACATCAGGAGGGGTTATGTTCTGTGATCCATAAAATTATGTTCCATATGAAGACTGGATGTATGTAGAAGACTAGTATATCACTATCTGAATGGAAAGTGAGATTTGGTTAAACTGTAAGGGGAAAAAAAATCCTAAGTGTACCCGGAGTTCAAAAGGCTTGTGGCAGCACTAAGCATTTGGCACAGCCATCTTGGCTTGCAGAAAGCTATTCCATTTGGACAGAAGACCATCTTAATTGTTACTGTGCTTCTGTGACCTTCCCTAAGATTCCCTAGAAATACTTTTGTTCAATATAGTCACAATACTTAATTTCACTAGAAAATTTGTTTGCATAGAAGTCTTTTGGTGATAAGTGATTGCTTTTCAGAGGAGCTCTTGTGGGTCTGCTCTATGCATGTCTTCTTGCAGTCATGTTTTCCTTCATTCAAATTAAAATACTGCCCTTTTTTCTGATGCCTTATTAATGGAAACTCAGTGTGGACAAAGCAGGAGGAATGCTTCTTTCTGTTGTGAAGGAGAGGCTCTCCTCTCTCTGTTTTAGACCTGTGCGTGGATACTGCTTTCCCTGTTTCCACGTTGAAACAGTGTCTCTAAATGCTGTACTTTATGTTAAATAACATAACTGAGATACGGACTTCTGTTTCCCATTTTCTGCCCTTTCTCATCTCACATCTGAACTATGTGCCTTCCTCTCTGATCTTGCAAGTTGTGTCCATTCAACCCCCTCCCCGTTTTGTTTTCCTGGCTGCGTTGACTGTATAGCTGTTCTTTTTATGTGTATTCGGTCAGTGGTTCCCTGTGTTTGTCTCTACTTTCAGGGTCTGATGTGACTTAGAATTCTTCAGTTACCCTCTCTTGAGGAGTTAATGGATCTCAGACCATCCTTTCTTCCAGAAGATTGCCAGTTTTGAGTTCTTACGAAGCTTTCCAACAAGAATGTTTATTTTCTGCTATTAAAATTTTATTTGGCTGAAAGATGTGCAATATTGATAAATGTTATATTAATGTGTACAAAATGTATGTTTGTGGAGCTGAATGTGAGCAGAAGCAAGTGGCAGTAAGATGTGTGGGAGGAAGGACAAGCAGATGGTGACAGAAACCACTCTTTCTGAATTTGTAGTTGCTGCTAGGTCCAGATGACACGAAGAAGTAGTATTCTTGATTTGCTTATGTAGGATATGTAGCAGAGTGAAAACTGTTTAATTTGGGGTTTCTTTCTAGTAATTTAACCAGCAGAATACACAAAATAGTTTGCTGAGTCTTTTCTTCTTATTGTACCTTTTTGTGCTTCATCCTCTCATGTGTGGTTTGTCTTCTTGTAATTAGGGAACTGGTATTTATAATAATTCGGTTCTCTCTTTCCATGGATCTGTGTTTCTGAGATGCTGTTGAAATCTTACATAAATCCAGAATTAAAAAATAAATCTTCATTACTTCACTTTCATTAATGTCTAAACTACACTTTGAGTCAAAGGAACATCAGGAAAGTTCAACCACTATGTGCATAGCAGTTGAAGTTTGAAGAGCTTCTGGGTGAGTTTCGTAACAGGTGTTGAGTCTGAGGTCCAAGCTGTGCTGAAGGATCATGCCTGAGGAAGCAGCGGTGCATGTCTACTACTGCCGGCCTAAGTAACCCTTGCAGCAGAACCATCAGCACCCAGAGGTGTGGCATTCTAAGCAACGAGCGCTTGAAGTGGTCACTTCCAAGAGGGAAGTGAGCAAGTGCTAGATACTGGAAAAAACACGCACAAAACATCCTAAAAGGGAAAAAAAGTTGTAAATATCAAAAGTCGGTGACTGCAAGGCTGCATGAGTTCACTTTTATGAGCTATTTAAGTAAACCTTAGCAACTCAAAATTTAGAATATGTGAAGCTGCATATTTCAACAAAATTCCAAATTCATTACCCTTCCGCCTTACGTTGTTCTGCCTTTCCTTTCCTTTCATTCAAAATTGGAGACGCCTGTGTTAGAGATTCAGACAATGGATTCTTTTATTTAGCACTTACATTCATTATTCATTGTGCATTGTAAGTGCATTGCTACTTCAGGCCTTAGTTAGAGATAATTAATCTTAGGTAAGCACTTGTAATTTCATACTTTATGAAGCACTGTTGTCTCAGCACAGCAGTGCTGTAGTGGCAAAATACTCTAATCCTCATTGTTGCTGTGCAGAATCATATTTCTTAATATTTGTGTGCATTCAAGTCTTTATTTTGCTTGCCTGTCTGTGGGTTTATGTTACAGCAGTCATGTTTGTGTTTTACTTTGGGAACAGTTCTTTGTAGTTTTATTTTACGCAGAATTTCAAACATAAATAGGTTAAATTGTCATTTAAATGGTGAGGTTAGAAAGACCCTATCCTTTTCAGCACTGAAAAGGAAAACTTGGAAAAGTGATGGGCTTTAGAGCAAGATCAATGAAGTAGATTCCCAAGGTGGCACGTTACTTCAAATGATGAATTAAATTGGTAGCTGATAATGGATCAGATGCAGCATGCACTTAGAAGCTAAGGCCTGATGTTTTCTATCTGGTGGTTAAATGTTTCTAAACATTCTTGCTATGCACATAGCCTTCTAGGAGCTCCAGTTGCATGTGTGAGCATGTGTCATGGTTTAAACCGGCAGCTAGGGCTACACAGCCGCTCACTCACTCCTCCCTCCCCAGGAGGAGGACAGAAAAAAGTAAAACTTGTGGGTTGAGATAAAGGCAGTTTAATAAGACAACAAAGCAAATACTACTACCACTACTACTGAATATGCGAGAGAAGCTGTACACGATACAGTTTTTCTCACCGCCTGTGCGGGTTTCCCAGAGCTTATGAATTCCACAGATTTCGTGGAACTCATGAAGAAAGACTAAACTCATGGAGAAGTTCAAACTCCCAGAAAAAGAGAAGTTCCTGTCCCTCAACCAACCCCTGTTTATAAATTGAGCAAAAGACCTATGGTATGGAATATTTCCATTGGCCAGCTTGGTTGTCTATCTGTCTGTGCTCACTCCCAACTCCTGCACACCTGCTCTTTAGCTGAATATGGAAAACTGGAAAA